GGTCAAAATTATGAGGGGAAAAAAAGTCTGAATTCAAACTAACTGGAGAAAAATAATCAGAATACTGAGGAAAAAAAACTAAAAATTCTGAGAAAAATGTCAAATTCCAGGAAAAAATGTAAAAATTCTGGGGGAAAAACTCAGAATTCTGGGGGGAAATTTTTGACCTAGAAATTTCTCTGAATTTTCTCAGCTGAAATTCAGAGGGGAAAAAAATCAGAATTTTGAGGAAAAAAAGTAAAAATTTGAGGAAAAATGTGAAATTTCTGGGGAAAACCAGAAATCTATCATTTTTCTCAGGATTCTGACTTTTGATCTCAGAAGTTTAAAGCCAGATTTGTTTTTATAAGTGGCTATAATTTCTGCCAAATTACATAGATGGAAATGATGTTTAGTGTTATTTAACTTTAAGAAGTTTTCATCGAGTGCAGAAACACTCGATGCTTTTTATCCAAATTTTGGAGGTTTGTTGATGGGATTTATCAACACATTTTACCAGAACATGTTGAGGACGTTCATAATCTTTTTATGTTTGATACGGCGCAAAATAAAAATAGGTTTGAGGTTCCTGATGTAGAGAGTCAGTTTTGAATTAATTAGTTTGTTAGGGTGACAGCAGGAGTTTACAATGTTTACATTTTCTGGGTGTAGCTGCATAATTTTACTGGATGAGTCAGAAATGAATCTTTAGTAAATGAATCTGTTTTTGTTCAGTAAAAGAGACGGAAACACACAAGCTGTGGAAAAACATCGAGCCTCATCTGAAGAAAGCCATGCAGACAGTTTACCTTCGAGAGGTTTCCAGGTCTGAACTTTCATCTGGATTTGCTCTTCACGTCGCCTCTGACCTCCTTAAATAAATGATCTCTGATGTTTTCTCTTTTAGTCTTCAGTGGGAGCAAATGGATGAACACGAGACCGGAGCCCTGAGAGGTGCCAACACACAGAAAACATTTATTTATATACAGATTATAAATGAAGGCGTGACGGCTGATTGGATCCGTTTCCTCGTTTCGAAGGTTTATCAGCTCACACTCATGTTGAGCTTCCATATTACTCCAAGTTCCTGCTGATCGCCGCCTATCTGGCCTCCTACAATCCCGCCCGCACAGATAAACGCTTCTTCGTCAAGGTATTTTCGTTTTACGAATGAAGAATCACAGTAAAGTGTCTTGTTTTCACTTCACGACTTGTTTTGTCTTTGTTGTCTCGCTGCAGCATCACGGAAAAATAAAGAAAACAAACTTCTTGAAGAAAAATGAGAAGGTGATCACCAGTACAGTTATATATCGCTATGCAGGAAAGTGTTTCTTGTAAAGCACTTTTCTCCCTTGTTGCTGAAATATGTTGCACAAACAAAGTGACTTCCTGCTTTCCAGACCAGTAACCACCTTCTGGGGCCGAAGCCTTTTCCCCTGGACCGCTTGTTGGCCATTTTCTACAGCGTGGTGGACAGCCGGGTCGCTCCGACCGCCAGCATCTTCTCCCAGGTCAGAACCCAGCAGGCGGCCATGTTTCTGTGATCGTCACCGTCGTCAGCAGGTTTTATGATCAAATCGATCAGGATTCAAAGACTCCAAAGTGGGATTTGAACCTTCAATAAAACTCAGGAATCGTGTATTTAGTGATTCTTTAGATTAAACTGTTTGTTTTTATCTTGTGGCTCTGCGTCAAACTGGAGCCGCCGATAAAAATGAATGTTTCTGTTCAGATCTCGTCTCTGGTGACGCTGCAGCTGCTGACTCTGGTCAGCCATGACGACCAGCTCGATTCTCCAAAGTACAAATGCGCCGTTTCCCTGGACTTCATCTCTGCCATCTCCAGGTGTGTGTGTGTGCTCCTCTGCTGTCACACACCCGAAGCTCTGAGTTATCCAGAGGAGCTGACCTTTACGGAGTTTGACAGAGCGCTCGCTCGCTGTGGTTTGTTTTCCAGGACGGTGAACTTTGATATTGTGAAGTATCTGTATGACTTCCTGTGAGGCTGCAGCGCGTGAAGGAGAGACGACGCGCAGCGACAGTAAGATAAAGACAGATTTATTTCTGCAGACGAGTGTTTGGCCGACTCTGCTGTTGGCTCGAAATGCTCTGAACGTTTCGCTGCCACCTTGTGGCTAATCTGTGACCTCAACATTAAATTTAATTTGTGTGAAATAAATAAACATAATGCTGCAGTAGTTTTAACTCACTTTCTCTTTTAGTTTCACCTTTTCTATCAGAGGAAAAATATTCAGTACTTATTTATTCATGAGATGAAAAGCTCAGAAACGTTTAGTTTCAAAAATGCAAATGAAGATGACTTTGCCTTTCCTGACGTAAAGTAATTCTGGCAACATCAGGGATGACCTTTGCCCTTCCTCCCAGGCATAAACACACCTTTGCTTTGCAGTTTCACCTGTTTTATTTTTATTTTGTCCTTGGATTCATTGATGCACATTTTACTCAAATCCTTAAAAGCAACGTGTGCTTTTTTTGTTCACACCACCTCTGCAGTTTGAGTTTTCATTTTTTTTCTTCTTCTACATTTCCTGTTAATATAAGATGAGGACAATAAACATCCAGTCTGCTGTACCTTAGATAATTTGGTGCAAAATCTACAAAACTGATATTTTAATCTCATCCTCATTTTGTCATTAACAACAAACTTATTTGAGTTTTGTTTGAATTTATTCCGTTTTCAACTTTAATTTTCTCTCATTTGTGCTACATGCATGTTCTGCATAGCATTTTTTAAAGATTTTGTGCAAATTGGTAGATAAAAAACAAGTTCAAAAGAAAGTGCAGTGTATTTATTTACAGACACTTTTCCTTCAGGTAAATGTCTCCAATGCTTTTTGGTCAGATATTTGTTAATATGACAGAAAAATGCTGAAACATTTCATCTGATACATCAAAATAACTAAAAAATTTAGTCATTTTCTTGCTTTAAACAATAAAAATTAAAACTGCATTCATAATTGGACACATCTCATTTAGTTAAGACAGAAATCTACTTTTTATCAGGTTTTTATTGGGATTTGTTTAGTGTATAAATAGAGAAAAGCTGAAATTAAACACACTGTGCAGTGAAGGCACCAGATGAGTACAGCTGACAACAGAACCGGGATTTTTTATATTATTAAGCCAAACACGTCAGTCAATAAAACACCCAAAGACACTTCAAAACAACAAAACCTGCTACTAAATTTGGCTTTTAAACACAGAAAAAATAGAAAATGTCTATTCTCCACTAAATCTTTTAAGGTTCCTGTTTTCCAGCTAATCAAATTCACGTTAAACAGTCGTAGTTTCCACCTGTAAAGACCCGACTAATTCAACCTTATGAGGGACATCAGTACAGAAAATAAAAACAGATCTGTGGAGCTCAGCTCAGGATCGACTTTCCTGCAGATCGTCCTTAACAACCGGAGTGAATCAGCCCGTTTTTAAAGTGCATAAATGTCGCTCATTTGGAGATTAAACTCATAAAATGTCTGTTTTCCGAGGTTCGGCCTCAAGTTACGGTGGAGCAAACCAAACACAAAATCTCACTTTTACATATAAAAGAGTTTTTTTTTCCAAAGAGGCGGCGTTGTGAATGAGGGCGAGGCGGCTAAACGCTGTGCCTCCTGCTGTGGATCATCGCCATGATGTGACGAAGGTCCAAACTCTTCATCATCACCTCCATGAAGTCTTCGTCACTGCGAGCGCCTTCCACGAACTCCTCCAAAGACAGCTCACCTGTTCAGAGACACAACGTTAATGCTTCAAATATTTGATTTCTGATTCAGGACTGGACTGTTAAGTCGTCATGGCAACAAGAAAATAACATTAAAGTAATTTAATTGAACCTACAGTGTAGAAAAACAAATTATTTATTAAAAATGACAGATATTTTCATAAACTAAATAAAAATGATATAATTTTATTTTCTGACGTTAAATTGAACATCTTGTATTTTTTTAAATAAAGTTTTATGCTTAAAATTGACGTTTTCTCCATTTTTAAGATAGATGATAACATTGAACAATTTTTTTACAGCTAAAGACTCGATTTTGTTAAAAATAATTGGCTATTAATCTTGTAATATTTTATGAACTGTAATACAAATAAAGGCTTGAAAACATACGTTTGTTTTTGTATTAATTTATATAATATGTCAAACCTGAAATAAATTAACTTTTCAACAAATTCAAATTTAATAAATGTGACTGTACGTTAGAGTTAAGGAAAAAACTGATTCAAGGGAATCAGTTTTTTCCTTAACTCTAACGTCGGGAGGAAAAAGTCGCATTTCTGTTGCCCGACACACAGGAAGTGAACTGTTATGAAAGTATCGTCTTATAAAGTAAAGTCAGAGCCAGTGAACCCAGATGCATCACCTCTTCTTTCCCCAGGTCCAGTAAATACAAGCTTTGTTATTGATCATTAAAAACCCCAGTTAATGTCATTTCTAAACAAGGATTTCTATATATTATTTTCACTGTAGTTGACGTGAACTGGTTTGTGTATTTACATATTTCCATAACAATGAAATATGGTGAATTTGACATAGTGAAGGCCGACGTGTGTCTGTATTTACTTAACTGCAGCTGCTCAGTTATAACATTTGTGATGTCATGAATAGTATGAATTTTAATGGCTGTAGTTACAATGTTTTAGTTTAAAGACGTTGGTGTTCTTTTTTAGAATATCATTTCTGTTGCCAGGTGTTAATCCAACATGTTATTCTTATTGGAGTAACATCTCAGATGAGGAAGGAAGACCCAGAAGTGAGAGATTCTTGAAAACCTGTTCACTTCAAGAGATGAATTGGCTGTGATCCATTGAAGACATATTCTGTCATTTCTGTCCAGTTTGATCGAAACAAACTTGACAGGGAGGGGAATCCTAAACAGTGTCCATGCTAACATCCAAGTCATCAACCAAGACTCCTTTGGCAGAGAGTTGAGACCTGGACGTATATTCTGCCTGAAATCTCCAATAACAAAACATGGTAAACATTTACGTTACTTTGCTGAACCGAAACTGGATGAGGTCAAAATGTTGGAGATGCACTATATTGCCACCTTCCTTAAGTCGCATATGAGCTTAGGCGACATCTCATTCCTAATCCATAGGGTTCAATTTGATGCTGGTTCACCCGATGCAACAAGAACATCAACTTTTCTAGGAAGGCTGTCCAAAAGGTTTAGGAGTGTTTCTGGGGATTTTTGACCATTCTTTGTGAAGTCACGTACTGATGTTTGGCGAGAAGGCCTGACTCTCAGTCTCCACTCTAATTCATCCCAAAGGTGCTCTGTCGGGTTGAGGTCAGGACTCTGTGCAGTTCATCCACCCCGCAGTCTCCACTGCATCCAACGCTTTGCATGGCACTTGGTTATGTTTGGTTGGATGCAGCTGGTCACCATGGAAACCACGAAGCTCTTTTCCTGAGCTAATCTGAAGGCCACATGAAGTTTGGCTGTCTGTAGTGATTGACTGCAGAAAGTTGGTGACCTCTTCGCTCTATGTGCTTCAGCATACGCTGGCGCCGCTCTGTCAGTTTATGTGGCCGACCACTTCGTGGCTGCGGTGCTGTCGTTCTCAAGCACTTGCATTTTCTAATACACCTGACAGTTGACTGGAGTATTTGGTTATGAGGAAATTTCACGACAGGATTTGTTGCACATCCTATCACAGTTCTAATTTACTGAGCTCCTGAGAGCGACCCATTCTTTCTGTAGAAACAGTCTGCATGCCTCAGTGCTTCGTTTTATACACCTGTGGACGTGGAACACCTGATTCCGCTGATTTCGATTGATGAGCAAACACTTTTGGCAATATAGTGTACCTGGCTTTAGGGTGAAATTTCAGGATGAAACCAAAATCCACTCAATATGACCTTCTCTGTATATGTCAGAGTTCGTGACTTTTTTCTTAACTGGATTTAAAGCGGGATTTGGACACCGAACGTCATCCGCCCAATCTGCACTCACCATCTCCGTTGATGTCAATCCTATCAAAGACTTTGTTGGTGAATTCCTCTGCGGTTGTTTCCTGATTGTCGTTTCCATTGATCGCCCGGATTGCCTGGAAGAAGAGGGATTAAAATCAACATGCCGCCGCACTTGTTGGGGGAAGTTTCAGGAAAATGGCGGTTGTTAATCTACCCTGATGATGTTCAGGAGTTCGTAGCGGTCGATGCAGCCGTTTCCGTCGACGTCGTATAGTTTGAAGTACCAGCGAAGCTTGTGCTCCATCTTTCCCCGCATCACCAGACTCAGAGCCGCCACATACTCCATGAAATCTATGTAGCCATCCTGCAGAGATTATCAACGTGCCAGATTATAATCCATAACTATACCTACTTGGGATTTAATGGGAACGAACACCCTGTCTTACTTCTGCATCACTGATCCTTTGCCAAGACAGATTATCTCCTGGACTGTCTGTGTTGCATCAATCTCAGCATCAAAGCATCGTCTCGGGGATAATCTCTTTGTTCAATCAAGCGCACAGATTACAGCGGCCTTTTGTTGGCTCAAGGAGGGAGTAAATATATCTGCTGAGACAGAAATCCTGCAACGACCCCATCAGTCGCACGCAGACGCTCCTAATTAAACTGATCTGAGAGGAAAAATTGGGGCGAAAGTTTGTAGCTGGGAGGTTGCTTCACGGCCTGCTGCGTTTGAGGGGACATAAATTAGGATTAGCATGTTTTCTGGTTGAACTGTTGCATAAATTTAACCAAGCATCACAAAGAGATGCTTTAAACTCCCAAACAGGAGGTGTGTCAGCTACTTTAAAAAAAATATAAACTACTAATCGGATAAACTGAATCCTTCAGCCTCTTAAATAATTTCGTTTTATTTGACTTTTGTTTATAGTCTCTAAAAGGGTTTCTGCTGCTGCTACATTAATATAAACACTTAAATTTATTCTGAAATTGCTGCCAACCTCTTGTAAAATGAATACAAACCTTTAAAATATGCAATTTATGGAATATTTGTCAAATAAAACACCATTTAGTAAACACGTTAAGATGAACAGTCATTTCAATTTGTAATTTTAAAGCATGAGATAAAAAGTTTAGTTTCTTGGCATCAAAGGAGATTTAAATTTTAGCTTTATCAACAATTAACCTTTCTTTAAAATAACATCTTGACAGAACTGAAAGAATTCAAAATTTAAGAGAAATTAAATTTTCTCTTTTTTGGGTGCAGTTTTACAGAGCCGACCCAAAGTTTTATGAGGCCCTAAGCTGAATTATTTTTGGGGCCCCTGTTACATTTAACCCCCCTCAACGGTCCTGATCTCATTTTAGTGTTCTCCATATGACCTGTGAGCCAACATTTAATATTTACAAATGATGCACAGATTGTCATTAGCTACTTTAATCTACTCATTTATTTTTTTTCTTTTGGGGATGAAAAAGTTAAAATGACATTAATATCACCTTCCCAAAACAATGACCTCAGTCATTTTTTTTTGCCTTAAATAATTTTTGAAAAATCAATTTAGGTAATTATTTTAGAAAGATCACAATATTTAAGAGACATTTATTATTATTATTATTATTTATTTAATTTATTTTATTTATTTTATTTGACCAGGTAAAACCCCACTGGGATCCAGAACTCATTTCCAAGCAGCAGAAATTTGCAACACACAACAAACTTGTTACATAAAAATAATTAAAAGTAAACAAATGAATCTCTCGTTATTGTTCTTAATAACTGACCTAAATGGCTAAAAAAGTTTTGCTCCATTTTTCACCCACCTTGTTCATGTCAAACGTCCGGAACATCTGCTCTATGTAGGCGTTGGCCTCAGGGTCCAGCCCTTTCAGCCCGAAGAACTGCTTAAACTCGTGCAGAGTGAGCTGGCCGGACGGACACTCCGTCATGAACTTCTTGTACCACAGGTGCATCTCCACGGCCTGCAGGTCGTCCACGGTGCATCCATTTGAGTTGCCCATGTCTCTAACAGCTGCCGGTCCAAACTGCTCAAACCAATTGGTCTACTGTGAAGCGGATCTTATCCCTGTTCACAGTCACTCAACTCCTGGACCTTTAGGATGAGGGTGGCACTTGGCAAGGGCCTTTTGTAGTTCACCAGACCTCCACACCCCCTGGACATTCTCCTTGGCTCTAATCTCTGGCGTTAATCCAGGAAAACATGCAGTTGATCAGCTTAATCCCTCCATTAAAAGGGCAGGTTGGCCGTCCCGCCTTTGCCAGGGATGTGCTGACACGCATGATGCAGGTTTCATCCCTCACGTGCCAATGCAGGACGCCCAACAGGCAGCATGGCGAATGAGGCGCAATGTTCTCTATGTGGACGGGATTGTCAGCAGTGCAGCTTTTTTTTATTTTTATTTTATGCCAGGGAACTGAGAGAAAAGCAGTGTCACAATAATTCAGGCATGATGCAAGAGACGAGCAAAAATAATTAGTATAAGCAAAAAAAATTTTAAAATGAGATGCAATGAAGTGAAAAAACAAACTCAGTTCCTACCCCCTGTAAAAACAGGAAAAAACAAAATTAAAATATAATTAAAAAGAAAAAAAAGATATAAACATATTTTACTAAAAAAATATTTACAGTTTATAAAAAATTTTTTTATAAATATATTATTTTTTAAATAATTTATTTTACCTTATTATATGAACTATATATTGAAAATTAAAATTTAATTTATTTTTAAAAACATTTATTTTTATATAAATATTTTTGTAAACATATATTTTATTTATATATATAAATTATATATATATATATATACACACACACGTTATCAATACACACGTTATCCTGTAAAATTCTCATTATTTCAACTATAAATTTACAGTGTAAGATCACAAATTTATGCAATTTTAAAAAAAAAATATCCGTCATAAGCAGGGCTGCAACTAACCATTATTTTAGTAACCGATTGTTCTGACGATTAATTGATTAATCACATAAATAACTGACTGACTGCAGATTTTTTATTTAACCACTTAAGCCAATAGTAGAAATTCTTAAAGATATTAAAATAAATAACTTAGTTAATTTTTTTTATCTATTTTTTTCCCTAAAATGCAATAATATAATTTATTTAGTGAATTTGTTGTTAGTTGGGGAAACTGATGCAGCTGTAAAATTTTTCTAACATTGCTTTTTGCTTTTACCATTAATTGAGTAGCAAAATGTGTTAAATAGGATAATTTTAACTAAATCTGAACAAAGTGAAGCTAAATCTGCCACTTGAGGAGTTCTGGGTAAAACCTGTCAAGTTTCTTTTTATCGTAAATGCAAAATGTTTACATTATTATACATTTTTTACTTAATTATTGCTCTGAATATATTGTTCTTTCAGCAAAACTACGTGTTTTTTTAAAGTTTGTATACCCCAATTAACGATTAATCAATTAATTATTTCAGTCATTGATTAATCCAATTAATCGTTTCAGCCCTCGTTATCAGCGATACGCTTACAGAAGTCTGTGTTGTCTGAGCTGGAGTTGCTGGGTCGTCACATGTTCTGACCTTCTAGGGAATTTCCTGGGACTTCCTCTTCTGGGAACATTGGCAGCAAAGGGCTTTCCACTTGGTCTTCCAACTGCTGGTCTGAGGTCATTGTTGACGTCTTTCCTTCCTGGCAATCCTCCAGCTATAGAAGCAGGTTGCCTCTCCTTATGTAATGTATGCAGTGCCTTGGAAACTTATGCACAACCCTTGTGCTTTTGGTAACCTTAGAGGTCTTTCTTTACCGAACTGCGACGTTCACACACATTTTTAAAAGAGCTTGATGGTATAAATGGCTTCAAATCAATCCACTTTTTAAGAAAGTGTTCAAAAGAAACTGAATCCAGAAATAAGCCCAGACTTTACCCTTATCCAGTTTGTCTTGGTGTACCCCAAGGTTCGGTTTTGGGCCCACTTATTTATTTTTTCTAATTTCCTTTCTACTAATATTTTGAGGCTTAAAACACATTTGCAGTATTAAAGTACAAAGATGTTTCAGTACAAACATAAAATAATAAAATTTTAATACATATTTTCATAAGTTTTATGTTTCGCTATAAAATTTAGCAACTGTTTTGTTGCTCAGCACTAGTTTTTACTAATTACAGAGCAACTGTTTATTCTAAAATTTATAGCTATCCCAGTAAAGGGTGGTGAATACATATACCTGCCACACTATTCAGATTTTTTGGTTTTGTTTTCATAAATCAGTTTCATGATTATGCACTACTGTTTTAAACAAAGTGGTAGCAGGCACAGCTACAATTTAATGGCTTGGCTGGCATATCTCGCGTGTTTGAATGGCCCAGTCAAAGTCCAGACCTAAATTAATGCTATATTACTTCTCATGTTTTCCAATAGTTTTTACCCTAAAAACCCACAAAAACCTGAGCGAAACCGAGAAAGCATCGATCGGAAGTTTTCCAGGTCATTTGCAGCTTTAATTGTGTTTCGTTCCAAAGGTAAATGAGATTACAGGCGATTAGTGAAGACGTTTATTTCAATACAGCCCACTGAGAGTTCAGGAACAACAGGAAACCATCTGGTCTCAGTGTCAGTAGGAGAAAATAGTGCACCTGTCAAGTGGAAGTAGTTTAAAAAAGAACAATGAAATGCAACTAAAATTCACCAGTTTGTTTTTCTGAAAGTATCTCTGTTATGATTTATTCCCTTTGTTTGCATTTGTTCTTTTTTTATTTGCTTTTGTATTGAACAATTATTCCTTCTTCTTGTAGCTACTGTGCAGCTGGAAGGATTTCTTCTCTTTTAATTTTTACTTTTGGATGTTATCGTAACCGTGGCAACAATTTATTGTTTTTAAAAAAAAGAACAAAAAAAAAACAGGTAGCAGCTGGTTGGCATCTCAAAAGCTCAGATAAAACCTGAATTACAACAGAGTTGAAAAGATTTCATGGACCAAAAGACAGAAAGAGAGAAGGGAGAAGTTCAAACCGTCTCTCCTATTTATCATGAAGTATTTTGTATCCCCTACTCCAACATCCCTCTGAAATGAGGTGGATTAGCCGGGTTTAACAACAACTGATGCCGTCATCCAGGACACGTTGCTGTGGAATATCGTTAGCATGTCAAACAGTCCTCAGTCAGAGGCCTCTTCAGATTCATTGGATGATTGACTGCTGCTGGAGATCATTCCTGCCAAACAGCATTACCATGCACAACAACTTTGAAGATACGAGTTGAGGCATTAGATTTCCCTTACGGATAAAGTAATATTAAACTAAATTAATAGTAGCTGTCGCATGAAATTGGCTGTCAAAAAAAAACTTATTACAGTATAAAGTGTTTACAAAAAAATGTTACAAGGTTATTAAATTCTCTTTGTAGTGTAGTATATATAAAAAAAATAATAAAAAAAATTCCCTTCTCACCCTCCGTGGGTGGTCTCTTTCATCCTCTGAGCTCGGGTCCTCTACCAGAGGC